GGCGTGCGGGGCCCCGCGCGGCTGCTGCTGCTGCTGCTGCTGTGTTTTAGTGCCCTCCCAACACCCAGTTTCCTGGCGTCAGGATCAGCTGCACTGCAGCACACCCTCAAATAGTAACACTTCGTTATGTAACAGCATTTAGCATCCCAAATGCTGTGCAAACGTTAACCGCTCTAATCCTCACCACCCAGCTCCGGCTGGTAAGTCCGTCTGTTCGAGGGGGTGTGGGCAGAAAGCGGTAGGGAAAAGCCTTGCTCCAAACCACACACTCTCACAGCGAGGAAATAGCATATGGAATACAAAACCCCAGGGCCGTGAGCCCCAGGCTTTTGACTCGGGTTGTGCCTGCAAATCATCTTTATGCTGACTACAAAACCAGCAGCTTCCTTTTTAGCTTACACGCTTGCTCGGGAATGAAGGTGTAACTGCAGTCCTGGGTTAGGGCTCACGTGCTCAGCACCTTGCATGCAGGACGAAGCTCTGAGCAGCTCAAGACCCTCTCACGCCACACAGTCCAAGAGGACTCGACACCTTCAATTCCAATTCCTGGGTTCCTCCACCAGCCCCATCTCACTCAACCATGGAGCAGCCTTCCCAGCTCACATGTATTAATGATTGAGTCAGCAGGCTTTTTATAGAACGGGTTTTGGAAACATTCTCTGAAGAGCAGTCTCGTGGGGACACGAAGCTGCACTGTGATGATGATGAGTACAGTGAATTATATAAATTAAACTATCCTGAAGCCATGCTGGAAGCAGGGCAGTAGCTTCTTCTGTTATGGTCCTTCTGCTGGCTACTCTGCTCCATTTGCTCTGCATGCAACAGCAAATTAGAATATCCTAAAGTCTCCCTGTGCTTCAGGGATTTGCACACGGAGTAGAGAGAAAACCTTGTTCGTGGGCTAATTGGCCGATTGCTTTATCACGCAATGAGGGCTAAGAGAAGTCTGCTGGGAAGCAGATGAAGACCAAAAGAGAAACATCAAAGGGGAGGAGGAAGGGAGGGAAGGAATTAACAAGACAGAAAGACTACAGAGATAAATTTGAGAAGGTGAAAACATTAAAAGCATGTACGGGAAAGGGGCAGGACAAAGAGGAAAAACAAGTATTCAAATGAATAAAAAACATAAGTCTAAAGAAAGGAAAATTTGTTTAAAGGCCCAGGATAAAATCAAGGATCATGAAAACCAGAGATGACATTTAAAAAAGAAGAAAAAAATGAAAGTGTTGCTAAATTTTAACTATTCAAAAATCTTGCATTGTAATCTTGCTTATAAACCATGAAATCCTACAGCCTTTGAGTTGTGCTGTAGCTTTTAGAATTCATCTTTCTGTCTCTGCAATCTCAAGTAATTCATTTTGGTCTACGAAAACTTAAAATTGCCACAAAACCCCAAGAAGCTGAAGATTTATGAAAAAAACTTAATCACAATAAAACTTATACACGTTGGAAACACTGTCCAAAAGCACATATGAAATTCATTTTGCTTAAATATGTGGAATAGATGTGCTGTGCTCCCACCTAATCTGACAAAGGAAAGAGAACATTTCTATGCCATAGAACACAAGGAGAAGAGAGCCCGAGCTGCTGAGCCCAGACCCAGATCCATCAGCGGTGATTCGAACGACGTTACACGACAACGTACAAGGCAACGCCAGCATCTTCTTTAATTAGAACAGGTCCTGCTGGGTGACATGAGGGGCTGGACATTTGGCAAGAGCAATTCTGAAGGCAGAAAAACCAAAATTCAGAACGGAACCCAGCTTCAGAGGGAAGTACCCCATACAAATCCAATCTCTTGGACACTTTTTAAATCACACAGCTCGGAAATAACACTGAACCCATCTCCAAAAAGGGTAAGTTTGTTTGGCAGTCCTAAAACACGAGAGACTGCATGGGCTGAGGAGAAACATAAATAAATAAATAAATAAAAATGTTAAAGCTCTAAAAGCAGGCCCAGTTTAGCAAATCTGTAGTGTGGAAGAACACGAACTGGAAAACCTGCACAGCATGACAGCCTGTAGATCACCACCTGCTAAATGCTAAACTTGTGACAAGGTCTGCATTATGGCCAGACAAATTCAGAGAATGAAACCTTTCTGAATCTGTCGTTTTTATCAGATATTATTAATGCAGAACTCAAACTGTAAGCTCTTCCTGGATCAACATATATTAGATTTTAGAGCACTTCAAGCGTAACACTGATTATCCTGTTCCCAGACTAACCCTAAGAGGGCTGTTCCTACAGCAGCGCGTTGAACTTGCGCTGCTGCAGCCGTCAAAGTGC